GCATCCGAGAGGAGCCAGTAACTTGCTTTTAGCTCACATAACCACTGAGTGGTTAAGCTAGGATTTAGACTTCGGTTCATCTGCCCATGTCCTTCCTGGCCCTCCATGGCTTCTCTTTGTGTTAGAAGACTACCATTGCCTGTACGGCCTTAAGTGATCGGGCCCTGCCCATCTCTCTGACCTTATTACTTACTCACTTGCCTTCACTAGTTTTCCAGCCACACTAGCTTCCTTGTTGTTTGTCTCATAAGCTGGTCTCATTCTCACCCCTGACTCTGCATCTGTTTCGTCTGCTTGGATCACACATCCTTAGCTCCTACGGCTCCATTCTTTCCATTCAGGGCTCCCCTTCACAGTGACCTCTCAGGACCATCCCATCTGATCTCCTTAGGGGATCCCCCACCCTCCAATCCTCTGTTTCTGCTCCGTTTTTGTGTCCTCTATGGTATTTGCCATGATCTTACATAATTTACCTGTCTACTTGGTTTTGCCTGTCCGCTCCCCCACCCCCACTTAGAATAGAAGTTCCACGAGGGCAGAGATCCTAGCTGTGTTTATAAAGCAAATGGAAAATCAAGCGACTAAGTTAATAAAGAAAGGAATATTTAGAAGTTTTGACTTCTAATGATCCATAATCTGCCTTTATCTCCCACACTAGGACTAAAGATGGATGACAGTTGTCAATGAGCTACACTGCATGCACTGTAGCTTTTTTCATATAAAATCTGGAAACAACAAAATCTACTTTTCTCTCAGTCTCTCTGTGAGGGTAAAATAAGATATAGATATCAGAATTCTTTGGAGAGAAGGTAGACTTACTACAATAATATTACATAAAGGTTTTAAAAGAGCTTGGTCGAAGAGGGAGATTTGAGTAATACTCTTAACTTCGGTTTTTATTTTGATTATAGTTTTAAGGATGCCACCTCCTTTAGTGTTAGACATAAACCCTTAAAAGATGGAGGTGTACATATAAAGCTCAATTGTAAATTGGAAGACTTATAATTGCATGATAATTTGCAGTGGCAAATTCACTAAAACAAAATTGTTTTCTCTGCTTACACATAAATTTTCACTTGAACTCACGTATCTACTAAAATAATGTATTCCTAGAACTGTGTTCTTAATTATTCTGAGGTAATTATGAAGGTGCAAATTGAAAAATAGCTTTACCTCCCATGTTAATTTGGAAGAGACTGACAGAAGTGAATCAGTGCCTTCCTCTGAAGCTGCTTTTCTCTCTGGCTTTCAGCTCGGGACCCTCTCGACTAAAATATGTGCGTCTGTGTTTTCCTTTCCCTGTCGTTCTGTGGGTTGCTGTGTCATTTGTTGAGTGAGCTGTGAACCATTGTTTTCTGCGGCCTCCAGTGTGACTTTACCACTCAACCAAACAAATCATCATCTCACCTTTGACAGGAGCTTCACATCCCCCTCCTACCTGCTCACCTTCCCCAGATCTTTCCTCAGGTGACCTCGCCAACCACGGCATCGCTCTCCACTCGGGGAATGAGTCTAAACCCGCGTGGTGCTCTTTCCTGCCTTCTGGGCTTCCCGCTATCACAAAAACCTGTTGGAGCCGTTACTATGAAATACACTTCTCAGCTAAACCCCCCGTATCAGACTTCCAGAAGCAGATCTAAATGTTATGGTGAGAACACATCTATATTTGAGAGTAATTTTTAAGTCTAGTTCTTCCAGATTGTTTTTATGTCTTGCATCAGAGACAAGTCAGTAAAACACAGAATGGGGAGGAAATGGAAAAGGATACTTCGATGTTGTTCACATGGTACCTTCCTCCTGTGTGTCCTGGAGGGGAGCCGTTTCTTCCTCACTTTATGAGCTAGGTAGATTTGGGTGTGTGATTGGGGAAGAGCCCATCAAGATCCAGGTGACAATGAGATGGGTAATTAAAGGGCTGGGCCAACATATCATTATTGAAATTAGGCAGGTTCATGGTCTACATAAACTCTTGAGAGACGGCTTTTGACAGGGTAGTTTTCATATACAGTAGATTGGCCCTTTTATGGCTCGACAAAGTCTTTGTTTCTTTTTTTTTTTTTTTCTCTTTCTTTCTTTCTTTCTTTCTTTCTTTCTAAGCTGTGTGGGTGGGAAACAGCATGAGGTTATAGAAAATGTATAGCACACGCAGTAGCAATGAGAAGGAATCCATAATGGGTACACACATATTGCTGGAATATTTCCCAAGTACTTGGAGGGGGGCGGCCGTGAAGCTTCTTTGGCAGAGGCAGAGAACATGTGCTTTTCCATGCGTGAACACCCTGTGCTTTGAAAGGTCCTTTATGATTCACAAAAGCAGCTGCTTCTGAGCTGGTGTAGCCACAGAGTTTGGGAGAGTCACCGAGATAGGTATACTGCAGGCTCCTGACATCTGTTTTGGAGGTTTGGTTAACTTTTGGGAATGTGCTTATTCACACGTGACATGGAGCAAGTTCTCTTCAGTAGAGTGCGGGACCCCTCTGTTCACGTCGTTAGGGTTTGCGGATCGAAGTTGACAAGGTTTAAAATTGTGAACAGTCGTTTGCTGTGTTACATGCATACAGACAGACATAGATTTTTAATGAGGGCGGTCTTCTTAATTTTGAAAACTGTGTGTGACGGCTTGACTTTTGCCTGGTAAATCAGCTGTCCTGAGTGGCTCTCAGACATATTTTGTGGCATGGGAAGGCTTTCTTGCTAGGCATTTGTAATCCTACTCTGTGTTGTGTTTTGGTGAGTTTTTAGTTTTGTCTGTTTTTTTGCATAAAAAATCCTGTGATTGTGTCTTTTGTATACTTCTGTTCCACCTCTGAGTGCTAGTTTCTGTCTCCTCTTTACTTACCACTAATAAGTTATTTTCATTTTGCTAAGGATTTCAAGCCTACATAATACCAGCAGTGTTGTTCCCTATCACTCTCAACAAGAGTCATGTGTGCCCAGTTCTTCAGATGAGATAACGAGGACAAGATTCTTTCACTTTTTGCTAGTTTTCAATTTATTGGATACTGGCCTAATGGAGCGTGTGCACTGTTTGCTTTTTAAAAAAGGGGCGGGGGGAGTGAAAGCTTTGTTTTTAATGTGTCGTAACTGTTGTCTCCAAAAGACAAAGCAAAACACAAAACAAAACAAAACAAAAGATTACCGCAAAATAAGATTCGTGTGGATATGTTCAACTGAAAATCATTTGAAATGTTTCATGGCTACACTTTGTGCTAAATATAAAAATAATTGTGTTTCCCATGTGTGAGCATCAAAAGCCCCAGTTGGGAAATCACATGGTTATAGCAAGTAGGTCACTATTGATGGTAGAACATGAGACAGGAAATGTCACAGCTAAGATTAGAGGCCCAAGCAGTACGTCTCGCCATGCTTTGCTGCATTGTTCGTCCTAAGTGGAAGGACTCAACAGGGTATAACTAACTTTAGCCCAATTTGAAAGTATTAGCAAGGATAGCCTTTTAATCTGTCATTCCCATTTGTTTCTAGATAACTCACTTTCCCAGTTGGTCAAAATAATTGAACTGCTTGGGTCTGCACATTGGCAGACCTCTGAATACCAATTAAAATGGCAGCCTTTACATGCTAAAAGTATACATGGGAAGCAATACTCAGCTGTACAGAATCGTAGCCCCAGATCTACCTGGCGTTTGAAATCCCTCACTAGGAATAAGCAATTAAAAATGAATTCTCTTAAAAATCTCATTTATCTTCGTATTTGAAGGTAAGGTGGGGATGTGGGGGGGGGGCACTTTTAGGGACTCTAGTTACCGTGCCTTTTCTTCTTTGAGCAATATGAGGAAGATTTATTATTTATTTGTGGGAATTTTCACCACAGAGTATGCTTAATTTTGCATATGTTTGCATATTCTCATGTTTAAAGAAAAGGCTAGGAAGAAAAGCACTGGTCTCCTGTGTCTGCCCCCATGAGAGACAATACCTTACTTGGGGGGAGGGGAGGACCGGCCAAGATGGAGCCTTGGATTCAGAGAGAAGCCATCCCCTCATGCTACATTAGGCAGTTGAACACAAGCCCAGAGAGCCCACAGCTATTTGGAAGTGGAGGTGAAAGCCTGCCGAGATGATTGAATTTGAATCTGTTGCTCAAGTGCCCCGAGTATTCGTTCACTTCTAGCACAGAGTCCTTCACAGAAGCACCTTGGCTTACAAATTCCATGCATTCTGTGTGGAAAGTCTCACTGCTTGAATCTCAGAGGCCTTCCCAAGCTCATGCTTTCAAAGGTCGTTAATGCAGATTAAAACACTCTACTTTGAACCTGGATTATTTCCTGCAGCTTGTAACTTTCAAGAGGGGCGGGGAGGTGGTGTGGAGGCTCAGTGGAATAAGTATTTTGACAGTGTTTTTACTCTTTATTCCTTCTCCAGCTTAAATACAGAGCCTAGATTTGTATACCTGATCCAGGGATAGAATGTTGGAAAGGGGGGTTGGAAGCACAGCTCTTAGAGAAATCTCTCTGGAATGAAAATTCTGGAAAAGATTTCCAACTGGCAGTCAGAGATACTGGCTTCTGATGGGAGAAACCACAAGGGATGTGGCACTCGAGACTGGCTGTGACATTGTGTGTGCCTGGTTCACACCCATCATAAAGCAAGCTGCTTGTGAGCTGTGGAGTTAGCTCATTTTCTAGGCCTCTGTCAGAGAATGTCAGTTGATAGTGGGAACATCTTGGAAAATATTTTGGAGTGTGTGAAGTAGATCTTTGCTTTGGAAATCTTTGAAAAATCCTTTTTCTAGTTTCAAAAATGTATGCATAGCTAATAAATATTTACATCTTTAGGTGCCTGGTAGAACTCTTTACCATCTTATGCAATTATTAGTTTCATGTGAGTTTCTGCTAGGAGTTTTCTCTTTGATATCACTATAAATGACCAGATGGCCAGGCGCCCCATTCTCCCTCCACCCCAGTCAGAACCCCTGAGCCTGGTCCTGGTCCTGCCTCTGATAAAGGCAGATATAGAGCAATACACCTTCTGGGAAAGAAATGGAAAACTGGATTATTTCTGTGGACTTGGTCTGGCATCACGGCCGTAGGATTCTATTCATCTTTCAAGCCTGTTTATTTTTCCTAGCTATAGGGAGCAAGTTGTAAAAATTTCTGGTTGGTAACTTTTATTTGTAAGGAGAGTACTCACTCACCAGGTTGCTAGTTGGCTGCTTAAGTTCCTATTGTGGCTGTTTCTTTCATCTGTGTTGTATCCAAGAACTCAAATACAATGTGTCTGATCACAGATGCCAAATAAGAGTAACCAGTAGGTTTCATACTTCAGTGCAGAAAAAGCAATTTCTGGTGGTGGGGGGTGGTGGTGATTGGGAGAGGTAGGTTGTGGAGCTCTGGTTTCCTAAGAAAATAAAGAGAGGGAATCCAGTGTACAAACATGTAACAGGAACCCAGCCTGGATTCACACGGTTAATAACCTGTGTCTCTTTGTATAGGAAATACAATACCAGCACTTACAAACCCATGGGCAAGGGAGTAGCACAAATAAAAACTTCATTTGTAAGAGCCATCTTGTCATTTTCCAAACACCTTAATGAGAAGGGTATTATAATTTTTTTTTTAATTTTTTTTTTCAACGTTTATTTTTGGGACAGAGAGAGACAGAGCATGAACGGGGGAGGGGCAGAGAGAGAGGGAGACACAGAATTGGAAACAGGCTCCAGGCTCTGAGCCATCAGCCCAGAGCCCGACGCGGGGCTCGAACTCACGGACCGCGAGATCGTGACCTGGCTGAAGTCGGACACTTAACCGACTGCGCCACCCAGGCGCCCCAGGGTATTATAATTTTAACGGAGATGCAAATAATCTTTTTTTATCTTCAGTTTCTCTGATGATAATGTTGGTGGAATCTCTAAAATACAGAAAACAACCTAGACTGGATTGTTTTTTGTTGTCTTTTTGTTAACAAAACTTTTTTCCAATGAAAGAAATACACCGCCCTGTCCTCAAATACAGACATAACCAATCAAGCTAATTTCCTAAGGGTGAATTATCCTTAGCTTCTGTGAAGGAGCCTCTGGTTTTTGAGCGTTTGACCCCTGAAAGGAATTGGAGGCCTCAGAAAGTCCTTAGGAGCTGTTTGAGAAACAGGAGAGAAGCTAGTTTTGATGGAGGAAATGTGACTGGAGAAAGTTCGGAGATGATCTTTTGGTCCTGTCTTTATTCTAAAAACCTACCTATCTTGTTGTAAGTCCATTCCTTAAGAGATTTTACTCATGGGTCACCAGATCTTGCCTCCGAACAAAGAATGTCTCTTAGATATGTATGACTGTCCTCCCCGACTCTTGAAAGAGGCTGTGGTCACTGGACTGCGTTTTCTGGCAGGCTGCCTGGCACCTGGCTCTGTCGCTGCTGGATGCAGTCAGTCTTCCCGGACTTCCCCAGCTCCTGCGCCTCGCCAGGCAAACGTAGGAAAGCAGACTCAGAGACAACAATCCAGGTGATAAAAGACTCTAAATTTAGAAGACTTTTCCCTTCCACATAATACAATTTGTTTCTTCTTCCCACAGAAAACAGGGCTGTCCAGAACCACTCTGAAAACACATGACCCTGCCTCATCCCTCCCACTTGCAGCTGTCAAACCTTCCAAGGGAAATTCTTGTGCCCTGAACACTTTTGCTGCGCCACACATCATAATCCCATGGTTTTTTGTTTGTTTTATATATACTAGTGCAAGCAGGTGAGGAGGCAGAGAGAGGGGGACAGAGGGTCTGAAGTGGGCTCTGTAGCTAACAGACTGATGGCAGCGAGCCCAAAGTGGGGCTTGAAATCACGAACAGTGAGATCATGACCTGAGTTGAAGTCGGATGCTCAACCGACTGAGCCACCCCCGGTGCCCCCATAATCTCATGTTTTAATGTTTGCTGAGGCTGAAAACTGCTAGTCCGTGTGTGCGGAGTGTGAAGGGTAGGCTAATGGGGAGATAGAGACCTGTCAACCTACCCAGTTCTTCTGGATGGATTCAGCCAGACTCTCTCCTAGGTGGCAGCAGGGGAAGAGCTCAGCCAGGTGACCTGCCTTCCTTCCTCACTCACGGGGTTTTTGGGTGGAGGGTTTCTCCGGAGCTGCCAGGAAACATAAATTCGGGGGTTATATAGGAGTTCTTTGAGCAAACAAAGAGAGCCAGTGCCCTGCTAGCAGAATATCCATTAATTTTTAATTTTTGAGCTGGAAATGGCACCAGAGATTATCCACATCAGGGTTTCCAAGGTGGAATTTGCAAGATAAACCACTGGGGCTAAGAAAGAAAATACTGGAATTTGTACACATTTTTATACCCCAAAAATAAGAAAAATTAAGTTTTACTAATATATGGATTGACAGTTGCTCCCTCTCCTGTTCTTTAAGTCAGAAGGGTGTATGTTCGGGGTCCGAGGTGGGGGTGGGGGCGATGGTTGCTCACTTGTCCACAGCATGTTGCATTGTATCTGTACATGTTGGGTGAAATTAATTGGCTTAATGTTAGTTTCAACTAAAGTAGCCCTCAACAGCAACAACAACAACAACAAAAACACAAAAAACCAAAAACCGAACAGCAACAACAACCAAGGCAAGCAGCTTAAAAAGATTCCAGTAAAAGGGCACCTGGGTGGCTCAGTCAGTTAAGCATCCAACTTCAGCTCAGGTCATGATTTCACATTCTATGAGTTCAAGCCCTTCATCGGGCTCTGTGCTGACAGCTCAGAGCCTGGAGCTGGCTTCAGATTCTGTGTCTCCCTCTCTCTCTGCCCCTCTGCCTCTCCCTCTGTCTCTCTCTCTCTCTCAAAAATAAATAAACATTAAAAATTTAACAAAGAAAGAATCTTGTAAAAAAAAAAGTATAAATTTAAAGGTATCACTAACTGTGCAAGCAAGAATAAGTGAACAGTTTGAAATGGAATTGACAACTTTGTTCTAGGACACACTTTGTTCTAGGTTCTTGGTTTATTAGCCAAGCTGGGAGTTAAAAACTGTAACACAATCAGTACTGATCAAACGTTAGCCCCCAATTCCAAAACTATCAAGATGATGGAATGAAACACAGACTGACATGTACTGTCATTAAGAATGAATATATTGGAAGGAAGTGTATACTTTGCCTTGAAAAATGATAATATGAAAGTGCCACAGAAAAATAAGAATACCCCTGCGCTTGTGAAACCAATGTTTAAATTCACCTACTGATCTTTATAAAATTTCACTAAATGATGTTCTGAAGCCTGTTTTGAAGTTTTTACTTGTATGCAGAAGTAAAAAAGCTACATATGTTTAAAAACTGTCTTTCTGGGGCGGCTGGGTGGCTCCGTCGGTTGAGCGTCCGACTTTGGCTCAGGTCATGATCTCAGTTTGTGGGTTCGAGCCCCCATCAGGCTCTGTGCCGACCTCTTGCTCAGAGCCTGGAGGCTGCTTCAGATTCTATGTCTCCTTCTCTCTCTGCCCACCTCCCCTCCCCCCACTCATGCTTTGTCTGTTTCTCAAAAATAAACAAATGTAAAAAAATAAAAATTAAAAAAACCAAAAACTGTTTTTCCTCCCAGTACAAACCCAGATAAGATACTATGTTGAAAACTATCTAAAATGAGTTTCTCTGTCACAAAGTGCTGTGAAAGTATTATTGAAGGTGTTACTGTATCTTGAAGAAGCAAATACATATTGGAACAGGTTACAGAGGGCAGAAGACTTGTTTTACGTTTGTAAGATGTTAGATCTAGCCTATTGTATTTGCTCATTTCTGTTTCACCAATGAAATACACTAAGTGCCCCCTTTTGGTGAGCCATCATTAGATGAAATTCATTCACAATCTTTATGAAAATGTTTTGTTAGAAAAACCAAGTAGTGTTCCCTCTTGAGAAGCAGCTGTTTCTTAGAGAAGGATTCCAGGGTGAGGTTATAAGAGATAAATTCATTCACTGCATCATTCATAAGCAAGCTAGGGCAGCCAAGATGTTGAAGCCAGAGGTATACAAAATGCTGTGGGATACTTCATAATTAATTTTATAAAAAACAAATGTGTAATATACAGTGTAGTCAAAGCAATACAATATTTTGTATTAAGTTGAGAAGGGACCATGAAAATCTTCTGTACCACACAGAGTTTTGCTGGTTATCTTATCAAAAAATAATTGAGTTGTCAAACTTACAGATAAGTTACATTCATTTTTCTTCTTATAAAAAGTAAAAGGTTCCCTATTTTCTTAACCATCTCTGTGATAATGAGCCACTCTAGTATGCTACCTATGGGTCATTATTTAAAAATACAGAGCATAACTAATTTGTCCTTTCAAGATAAAGATGTCATTTTAAGAATAAGAAGATAACTGAATTTTAACGAAACTTATTATAGAGAGAACAATGTGAGAAACAATGTTTGGAAATGTTCACACTGTGATTTTTTTTTTTTTTTTTTTTTTGCTTAGAACTATGACAGCCATTAAAACCCAGCTATGTAAAATAAACCGAACATGGAACTAGACCTTCAGATTAACGTATCACAAATAATTAATCCAGCTTTTCAAACATAAGGCATATTCATTCACACTATTCTTGATAAAATGATTATTTTCTAAGATAAAGTATCTGTACTCTTAGATATATAAAGAAATAAATATTGTTTATTTACCTTATACTTTTTGTGATTTTGATGCTAGTTTGATAATGCACCTAATATAGTACATCACACATATCTAGTAAGTAAGCATGGCATGCATGCTCCAAAGTATTGGGATTCACGAATTCAGTAATTTTTGAGACTCTAGCTCTCAGCTAAAGATTCTGAAACTTTTGGTGGCAGGGAATAGCCACAGAATCTTTGAGACAATAAAAGATAGGTGTCCTCTTTCAGAAAAATGATACACAGATGCCAAATAAAATTGTGCCCAGAATCAGGGCGATCCCACGGCCCCACTGAATAGCTGTTGTCGCGGACTCTGATAAACCCCCTGGATGAGGACAAGAATGCCCTAAGGAGTTATGTGACTTACGCAGGGTCGCACAATGCCATAATCTCATCTTTCAATCAAGACCTGCTGAGCATATGTCATTGCATACAGGCTTCTGTCTGGCAGCTGAGGATGCAAACAGGATGATGGAACTCTATCTGGGTCGCCAAGGAATCCACAGTTTCAGCAGGGACTCCAGGGTGCAACCGATAATCACAATTCCATTTGTGTGTGGGAGAAACTTGTTTACTTGACCAGCATTAAACGCGTGTGCCCAACTGTGTGAGGGCATTTTGCTAAATAAACTTCATAGAAAACGCAGAGATGGGTAAGGCGACACTTGTAGATAATCAAGTGCCAATTACCGGCTTCAGCTCCCAGTGCTTTTTCTAATGCCCCTTTTATATTCTGAACGTCCTGATGCTCCTGATTGCAGTTTGCCACTCTGTTTCCTTCATGCACTAAATGATGATGTACAAGTAAAGGGAGGTGAGGTGGTTGGGGGGGCTGGGTGGGTGGGTCACACTCCTTCCTATTTCTAAGCAACCAAAGCTCACTCTTTGGGTTTACGTGCACCAGCATGCACTCCCCTGCCTGTGGAATAGAGCACTGAACTCTTAGATAAATTGGCAAATGGAAGAAAACAGGCAGTAATAAAGGAGGTATGGAATTTTATAAGCTTCATGATCTCTTTCCCCAAAGGCCTGAATCTATGTAATGAGGTAGTAGAACAAATTCCTGCCGAGTCTGAATTTATTCCTATAAGGAAAAAAGAAAAAAGAAAAAAAAAAAAGGAATGATAGGAATAAAGTAAATGCAAAATTGTTTTTTCTGCTCAGGTCATTAGTTGGTGATATTCTTGAAGGCGATGTAGAGTTTTTCCTACAAATATTGGGCTCTTTGTGGGGACTAAAAATAAACAGAGCAGCACAGGGAAATAGGCAAGCACTATTGATCTGCGTCAGGGCCGTTTCCACTTTAATGTTTGCAAAAGGCACAGCCCAGTTGTGCAAACCTATTTATAGGGAACAGCTTCCTCATTGCTATATATAGATGATAAAAACAAGGTGGACTGTCAGGTAATTTGGGTTTATTGTTAGGAAATAGGACTGGGGGGCGGGGAGGGATCTTCTCCAGAACTAGTGAGGAGGGCTTATCCCTCATGTTCCTGTGCCTGGAAGGAAAGACCCGTGGAATCCAGTGTCTGTGCCCACACTGCCCGTGGACACACCTGTGGCCTGAGTGCCGCCTCCAACTGGTGTTTGTTTACCTCTCAGCTGCCCCAGCCTCCCTCCCCTTTTCCCCGGTGCCGGAAGCAGAACCTGAAACAAACAAGGCGCCTCCAAGACCCCCCTGCCCTTCTGTCCCTGTAGAGAGCTCTGACTCCCCACTGGTATTGAGGGTGCTTGTGCCCACCTGTGCGTGAGCTTGTGGGTCTGGTGCACGTATGCACACCTGGAATGTTTTCGTGGCATCCTGACATTTGGTTCTCCCCTTTTTTTTTTTTTTTTTTTTCTAATTTGTTTTCTCTCCACTCATTTCCTACCAGAGTTCTTTACTCCTCGAACACCCTCCCCCCAAACACTTATTTTTCTAGTTCCCTTCCCGCCCCATTCACCAGGTCTCCACCCCTGGGCTCTTCTCTTCTCTTTTCTTACACCTGTCAGTTCAATTCAACAAGCGTTAGTGAGTGCTGAGCGCCTGCGAAGTTCTGGGACTAAAGAGACAAACAAGACAGGATCTCTGTCCTCAAGTCCTCTGTCCAGGGGGACTTGCGGTCTGCTCTCTGCCCTCTGCTCTCCACTCCAGTTATCGATCGCTCCCTCCAGGCAGAGGTTCCCACCAGGATTCTCCACTGTAGTAACGGCTAAGCTTTGGTTCAGAAAACAATAATTCCCCCCGCCTAATGTCTGAGTTATGAAAGGAACGGGGGCTTGCAGCAAGGGGCGCATATACCCTGAAATGTGATCAGGGCTTGAATTCTGTGTGTTAAAAATATCAAAGGGATGCTAATGGCCTCTAACACCTTCTAGAGGCTCCTACGTGATGCTGTTTCACCTGCAGGCATAGTTGTCCAGGCTCTGGGAAATGGCCTGTTGACAGTTTCCACTCCGATGTGGTATTCTTAGTGCCAGTGCCATTGCGGCACTGGGATGCTGAAATAACTAACCGTTTTTAAGTCGGCGCAGAAAACAAACGGACCAACCCTGATGGAACATAGTAACAGTGTGCTGCTCCAGCCTGGGTGGGGCTGGAGAAATTGCTTTCCATCATCTCTGTGTCCGTTTCATCCCTTTAGATCTTTTACACCGTAAGTTTCTCTGTCCATCCAAATACAACATGAGTTTATTCTCAACGAATGAGACGCCAAGAACAGTGACAGGCAGTGCATGTTTCAATCACAAAACGGTGTGCCAGTTGCATACAGGCCAGACTTAAAAGCAAGAGGTGGAGAAGGAACTGGCCAACTAAGAAACATTTTAAATAGAACCCTCATCTCTATGCCTTGGTCTTCTGATGATCACCAGACAAACGGTATTGGGGCTGAGATAATGGGAGATCTTTACCCTTCAAGGCCTCGCTGTGTGGAGGGAATTCTCAACTGGTTTCATCATTCGCAATAGGGTTAATGTCTTTCTGGTGGCTGGGAAACCTCACTGGCTTCCCAGCTTCATTCTTTACATCCTTTTGTGCCTTGTCATGCTTCACCGAGTCTACTCTGTTCATCCCTGGTCTTCCTCTGTTTCCCATTCCATGCCCTCTGGAATGTGTCACTATGCGTCTTTTCCATTCCGCCGTGTCTCTAAGTGGCATGCATCCAAATGATTACAGCTGTCTTTCTTGAGGCTTATGTAAAGTAATTCATTCTTGCCTTTTCAAAGAGGAGTGATGGTGTGAGGTCAGTGACACTGCCATATCCAGATTATTCCTCATCCTGCTTCGTGTTCTAACACCGCCCACTGTTCTAGAGCAAATAAAAGTGGCCAGGACCAAATCCACCACAACTTTCCCTGATCATTCACTGTGGCATGGAGAACAGATTGGACGTGGGCACAAGTGGAAGCAGAGGAACCAAGTAAGAGGCTACCTGAATAATTCAGGTGAGATCTGATGATGGCTTGGGGAAGATGAAAACAGTGGTGATGGAGACGGTGTATAATTTCAAGGTGGAAGGACAAACGGGACTTGATAATGATCTCACTATGTGTGATAAGGAACGGATGGAAGCATGATGCCTCCTAGGTTTGGGGGGTAGGGAAGTTAATGAGGGGGGTCTGCCAGAGGGGAGGGGAACAGCCCCAGCACAAATGAAGTTGGGGAAATGATGTGAAGGATCTCTTTCAACTAGTGAAAATTTGACTTAAGATCATGAATAGTAGGGGTGCCGGGGCGGCTCAGCTGATTCAGCGACCGACTTCGGCTCAGGTCATGATCTCACAACTGGTGGGTTCGAGCCCCACGTTGGGCTCTGTGCCGCCAGCTCAGAGCCCGGAGCCTGCTTCGAATTCTGTGTCTCCCTCTCTCTCTGCCCCTCCCCTGCGCGTGCTGTGTATCTCTCTGCCTCTGAAAAATAAATAAAAATGTTAAAAAGTCATGAATCTTAAAATACACGGAATAGCTCTTTGAAAACTATGAAGTTTGGGGTGACTGTAAGGCATTGGTATTATTTGCTTTGCTCCATAACATGGCCTTGATGGGCTGGTCTGACTTCCACCCAGCGTGGTGCATTAGTAATGCCTCAGTTCTGTGAGGGGGAGGGCAGTGCCTTATCCACTATACCCTTAGTGCTGACGGTCTTGCAATGAAAGGTGTTTGGTATGTTTATTGAACAGGTTAGATCGCGTATTTGATTTAGAGAAGAGTTGGCCCTCTGGAAACAAACAGCAAGTTTTGAAAATACACCCGTCTTTGAGGGGCAGTGCTGCCCCCCTCAAATGCCAGAGTACCAGGGACTAAATCGGCTGGGACACATTACCACCAGGTGACTGTGTGTGCAGAAAGTGCAGTGGCAGCGAGGTCCGTTTATGGCTGGGAGTAGAACAGGGAGGGCCCAGTCTGAAAGTCAGTCAGAAAGTAGTCTGGAGAACAAGGATTGAAGCTTGGAGGCCCAGGATGCAGGTCAAGTCATTTAGGTTTTTGCTCTGTAGGGTGGTTCCTTGTCCCCAAGGTGCAGGCTACTCAGGAGGTTGTGCCGGCCTGGCTCTCATGGGCTCATTGGAAGTTGGTTGGGGCTTAAATGCCATAGAAATGGGCACCATATAAGAAGAAAAAAAAAAAAAAAGTCTGCCATCTGAAAAAAGAGAAAGAAAACAGCCCCCTTTTCCAAACCATCTACATTAGCTAAAAACTTCTTACACCAACTGGCGATATTTTATGTGTTTGCCCCGACTGAGGCCTATAGCTCACAGACCTGCCAGTATTGCACGATCAATATAAAAATTCCAGTTGTTTTGCTGACTTAGGTGTTCACTGAGGGATTATCTGGGAGACAGACCTGAAAAGCAGTTATGTGGAAAGTTCAATATGCTAGTTCTCCTTCAGCGGGGTTGCTGAGAGGGTACTTTCTGGAAACTTCTCCGGTTTTTTGGCAGGTGCACCTTCCTCCTGATGTCTTGTGCCTGTGGCACCACATTTCCAGGTCTTAGTGTCGTACTTCAGTCTGTCACCGTGGGGCCTCCTGAAGTCACATCCACAAATATTTTGGAGCTTGTTCCCTTGACCGCAAATCGTAATCGTCTTTCAGTTTGTTTTGGCCTGGCCTGGGATCGGCAGGGAAGAAGTGGTGCAGGCGAAGGAGTGAGATTCTTGTTGAAAAGACCACTTTTCTCAGGTTGATATCCATGGAGATATCTGTTCGTTTCCTCCTGGCATGGATTTTATAGCGTCCGTGAAGCTCCCTCCTCTCCACCCGATTCTTGGCCTTCCCCCACCTCACCTCCCCACCCCCACCTCTTCTCCCCAGGGTGTGAAAGTACATTTGCGGCCGTCCCACCTGAGTCCCACCTGATGGCTGCCCTGTGTGTGTGTGTGTGTGTGTGTGTGTGTGGCCTCAGCCATGGAATGCTGAGTGTTTGCACAGGGGTTGCTGAGAGTCAAGTCAAGAAACAAGCCTGTTGGTATGAAGCCAAAAGCCCATTTAGGGTAGCAGCTTCAGTTTCACCCCTGATCCAAGCTGGAGCGGGTTCTCCAAGTGGAGGAAAGCGGAGGAGTGGCATGAAAAGGGAGCAGGAACTTTGGGCTTTACTCTTCAGCTGCTGGAGCAGAATTCTGGTTCACCACAGGTCAGCATCTTCTGTTTTCTGATCAGCAGCCCAGCCCGATTGGTTCTCGGTTATTCGGCTCACTGGGGCCACTTGGAAGATGCTTCTTTTGCATTTCCATGATCCCCCTTCCACCACCACCCCCGCTTTCCTTGCCCATCAAGTTTTGCAGTTTACTCTGTGACCCACATAAAGTAAAAGAAAACCCCCACGACCTAGGAATTCCCGTGTTGTGAGATATGTTATTTCCTGCCATTGAAAGGATTATTTTACACTGCCAGCAAGGAGGGCTTTCAGGAATACGCTAACACTCTATTTCCTCCCCCTTAGTATTTCCTCAGTTGTCCTTAGAGTGCCAGTAACCTCCACTGGGTTTCTGTACTAAAAGTGCTTCAGTGTCTCCTGGCTAATGATAAATAATCAGCCGACTATTGATTTTGATCATCTTCTAAAATAACTGGCCGTGTTTCCTTGCCACATCGATGCTATGGCACACATGGCCCATTCCTCAAGAATGGTAGCAGTCAAGCCTAGGTTGACCACATGTACTCAATCGACACAGAGACGCCCGGCTGGCTCAGCCGGAAAAACATGTGACTCTTGATCACAGGGTTGAGTTCAAGCCCTACCTTGGGGGTAAAGATTACTAAAAATAATAAATAAACTTCATTGAACATGGAAATTGTTGCTGACCTAACAATGTCTCGAGAGAGAAGATACAGAAAAAGGATACTCTTACTAAAAAAATACAGTGCCCAGTCATTTTGGGTAAACTGGCATTTAGGAAGATAAATCGGTTACTCGACTGTTTCTGTTATAAACAGGATCTGAAGCTACAGGCAAGACTGGCCAGAGTTCCCTGGTCCTTTCACTTTGGGGTATCAGGTGGTGAGAAGCAGCAAGCCTATTGACCACGGAGGATATTCTCGTCTTCCTCCCATCCCCGCCCTTGCTAAAGGAGGACAGTGTTTCCCTGATGATGAGCCTTTGGATGATTACCGGTGTCTTATCGGTAATGATAATGCGGCAGCGAAGGTTCTCATGCATTCATTATTAGTGTTTTCACTAACACTGCTCCCTGAGGTGATTAAAGATCCTGGATCCAGACCCCACTGGAGGGGAGCAAGTACTCTAACCCCGTTTAAAGCCACCACCTCTGTGCCCTCCTGTCCCTTGCCCTGTTGTCATTGTTTCCCAAACTTGACTCTTCATAACCCAGCGATCGACCACGAGTGACCTGGGTCCCTGCTGAAATGACTCTGTATGAACAAGGCAGGTGACGTAAACATGTGATGCTCTAGTGCGTGAGGGAATAGGGGAGCACCAGACTCTCAGAGAACAGAGAGGCCTGAGGCCCCTCCTCCCCCCGCCTCCCCACACCTTCCCCCCCTCCCCAAATGTAATACCCATGACTTTCAGGCTCCAGGATGCCAGCTGAAAAGTGATTTAAGCAAATCTGCACCCATAAGGCCCTTTATGCAAAGTAGTTCCTTGGCCTGGAATGTCTGCAGTCCCACATCTCATCCTCCACAGCTGGGCTTGAATTCCCCCTCCCCCTTGCTGCTTAGCGCCGTAGTTATGCCTCTGCTCACCACACATCACACCCCGCCTTCCACTGGACGTACTTGGGTAGCTGTAGTAGGCTGCTGAAAGGCTGCATCTTCGAGTTTCTCATTCCATCTGCCCTTAGCATTTATTTCCATATAGTGGATTCTCAGTAAACCTTTCTGTTGGGAAAAAGGGGCGAAAGCAAGCCTAGTTTCAAATCATAACCATTCAAAATGGAGACACTCTATTATACTATAGTCGTGGCATCCGGTGGAAAAGTAAGCAAAAACCTTTGCATGCCCAGGACGTGAGTATTTCTCTGCCAAAAATAATTCTGAGCCAAGTCATCTATAAGCATATCACAGAATTAGGGAAGTCCCTTTTTTCTCTTTGTTATGTCCAGCTGGACTGTTAACGATTAATGCGGTGCCTTCATTCATTTGTTTTTTTACTTACCTCTTCATTTACAGAAAACACAAGCACAGGGCAGGCTTGAATTCTCTGTCTGAAATAATTGCTTGACTCCGGGGATCATGTAACCTGTGGCATCCAAGCAGTTAGAACTCCAGGAGAAGCAAAGTAGGAACCATGCACCACCCTGGAAAATAAATAGCACCTTAATGTCAGAATATGAGAAGCTGTCTCACGAAGAACAGGCTTCAGAACATCCTAAATGAGTAACCTCATGCACAGTAGCATGCTGGCACAGTGTCCGTATTGATTTATGTATTAGTGCTTTATTTAAACTCTGTGCCCAAAGGTAACTGAGTAGTACACGGCTTCTGAGTCCCACCGGACCCGGCCTGGGAGAAGGCCTCCAGATCTTGATGTAGGCAGGAAGTTAATCTGTTGTTTTGACGTCTGCCTTTGTTAATCATTGAGCCTTTGACACTGAGATTTTAGTTTCAGGTTGGGTTCATTGAGGTGTAACTTGGACTAAATTCACCCTTTTTTTAGTGTATAGGACCACGTATTTTCACAAATGCATACGGGTGTATGATGACCATCGTGATCAAGATACAAGATAGCGTCAGCACTCCCCAAATTTCTTTTATGCCCTCTTGAAGTCAACCTTCCCTTGCACACGTAGCCCCTGGCCACTACTGACCTGTTTTCTGACCCTGTAATTTTGCCTTTTCCAGGATGTTCTATAAAGGAAATCATATGCCATGCAGGCTTCTGAGTCTGGTTTCTTTCATACAGCATAATGAGATCCCTCCATGTTGCTCTGTGCATCGGTAGCTAGTTCCTTTTTATTGCTCAGTAGGATTCCCTTCATCGTATAAATGCACTACTGTTTATCTCTTCACCAGTGGAAGGGCATCCGGGTTCTTTCCACAGTGGGGTCATTATGAATAAACATTCCTATCCCATTTTTTGTGTGGGAATATGTGTTGTCATCTACCTTAAATAAATACCTAAGCATGAGATTGCTGAGTTGAATGACAGGTGTATGTTTAATTCTTATAAGAAACTGCTGAGTCATTTTTCAAAGTGGCTTTTATGTTTTTGCGTTGCTGTAATATTCACCGAGGGAGGTCCACCTTTGAGGTTACATCCACACTGTTTTAGATCCTTTCGAGAGGATTATATATTCCAGGGAGATTGAAGATCCCTCGAGGTGTTGTTTTGCTTGTCCTGCCTCAGCTGTGGGTACCTTGAGAGGAAAAGACAAATGGAATAGGGATGTGGACCCCAACTCAATGGGTTAAGCTTTTTCTTTATAAACAGAACTTTTTTTTGTCTCCTAACTAAAAATGATTAAAGTGAGTGTTTGGCTGCTTGGCAAGACTCTGCCCTGATATTCAGAGGAGATTAGAGTAGCTTTGCAGATAAGCTCAGAAAATCTAGCTGGCCACAGAGTCATTTCCCAGCCCTCAGGCAGTCGCTGGGTGTCCTGGTGCTGATGTCATTGACAAGGTTGAGTCCTGGGAATCTGAAGATGGCACATCTTTTAAAAGGTGATATTTCCAAGCCTTGGACAAACTCTCAACTGCCTAACAGCTGATTTCTTTTACCTCCTCACCCGAATGCTTTCAGATCCTGACCAGTGGAGACACTTTGCAGGCGAGGCTTCTTATCACCTAGTTTATGTTTGGTTGAAATCAGGGATTATGGAGTTGGCCTCCACACCTGGCCTCAGCCCTAAAGCAGGGGAAATATGTCTGAGTGCTTTCTGGCCTTGGCTATGGTCAGCACCTTTATGCTCAACAGGAAAATCAGTTCAAAGGCTATTTGCGTTGGAGGCCTGGTCCTCCTGTGGCCTATTGTGGGTCACGGTAGCTGGCTTTAGAATCGGCGGGGGCATCCCAAACAGGAAGGAAAAAAAAAAAAATCAGTGACTTGTGGAATGTCTGATGCCCTCTGGTAACCTTCAGAGTTCTGTGGTAACCATACAGGCACCGTGACCCGCAAATCCAGCCAGTAACCCTCCAGGAACGGGTTACTCACTGTGTTTGAGTAGGAATTCATGGAGTGATCCTGACCAAGGAAAACATTCAGCCAAGGGCACTTGACTCCGTGGGGCTTTTGTACTTTACCCTCAACTCCACTCTAACAAAACAGAAAGAGGGGCGGGGTGGGGGTGGGGAGAGTAAATGGAAAATGATCATTTTCTGTCTGATTTTGCTTCATGGAAGCAAATGGAAATGTCCATTCAGTACCCACCTATCAGCCACAGAGTTGCAAGCACCTGTTCTTACTTCCCCGAGCATGTGTCCTCCTCAGAGGTACTGGGAAAGGCTCTACAGCATTGTCAGACATGTCTTGTGTTCCATCGGGCTGATTTGACGTTCTTCTTATAGACACCAGTTTGGACAGAATGGGGAAGATCAATAAATAGGATACCTGTGGTATGGAGAGGAAGAGGTGTGTTTGGTTTCCAGCTACAGATGGGCCTGCGGGTGCACTTTTTAGAGCCAAGTTACCAGAATGTGAGAGCAGAGGAGAAGATGGGCTGGGTGGGGGTGGGGGCGGGGAGACAGTCACAGGTTTTGATTGTACCATATTCCCTGGGGCATCCAGCCCTTTTGTGACTGTTGGGCATTAACTAAACCCACGGGATGGCTTTCCCTCTTACTGTCCAGTAAATTGTTTCTCCCAGAGCTGCCAGCATTTGCAGCCAGATGACTTGTTCACCTTGGTATATTGCACACGGCCTGAAGAAGGCCCAATTGGCAGGCCCCGTCTGTGGATTCCAAGAGGCAGCAAGTGCAGGGAGAGATGTGGGGGCACTCTTGCTTGCTAGGCATATGGCGAGTTCACAATGCTAGACGTTTTAGCAGGCCATGGAGTACATTTGCCAAGGGAAAGAATACAGCGATAATGAAACTAGGGACAAGAAAATGCTGTAATAGAAGACGCCATCATGCTGCTAAATTTCATTCTATTCCTAGGGCAAGTTGATATTATTGCAGGAGACGCTAAGGATCAGAGCATGATAGAAGAGGAAGCTGTTCACAAGTATCAGTGATGTGCTGTACGGATCGTGATTCGCGTATTCATATCGGTGCTAGCAGTAAGAGGTTTCTTTCCTTTACGTAGTTCACAACGCATTGTTTGCTGGTCCATAGTAGCACTGGATACTGCACAGATCTCACCCCTCAGCGGAGGGAAGAGGTCAAGATGAGCCAAGGGAAGGGGTCGAGTTGGGTCTGTGTCCCAACCCATTGAAACGTTTGCTCCATTTTTACACTTAAATTTACAGGGATCTGGCATTTGTATGCTGGCAAGATCCATAGCATCTGGGGGAGGGGAAGGGGTTGCTAAATTGCCATTAAAACTTCCTTTGCTTTCTGACAAAGAAGTCAATTCAGAAACTTCCAAATGGTCTTGCTACTTGAGCCTCTACATCTGCATTTGAAATTGTTCCCCTCTAGTCCTAGTATTATAGGCGTTTTTCTTTATCAGTGAAGTGTGTACAATCTCCTTCATGTCTAAGTAAACCAACTTTTCTGTTTTCTCCTTTTAAGTTTTTGTGAAAATGATACAGGTATCAGTTAAAGAAATAAAGTAGCACGGAGAAATGATTATATTGAAAAGCCATGGTACTCCCCCCGCCCCCCGTCCAAAATGGAAACCACACTGAGAAGGGGCTAGATTTGGGCGCATGAGGGTGGCTCAGTCGGTTAAGCCTCCGACTTCAGCTCAGGTTATGCTCTCGAGGTTCGTGAGTTCAGGCCCCGCGTCGGGCTCTGTGCTGACAGCTCAGAGCCTGGAGCCTGCTTTGGATTCTGTGTCTCCTTCTCTCTCTGCCCCTCCCCCACTCATGCTCTCGTTTTCTCTCTCTCTCTCTCTCTCTCTCTCTCAAATGTTAAAAAAATTTTAAAGATAAAAAAATTTTAAAAACGAAAAAGAAGGCGCTAGACTTTTAGTTAGGAGTTTGGCGGCAGGGGTGGGAGGCGGGAATGGTGCTTAAAATGCCCGAGGAGAAGGTTTTACTGCACAGTATGTTGGCACATATTCTAGCCCTTCTAGTTCTTGCCAGTTTTTTTTTTTTAACGGTTTATTTTGAACTCATTTTAGATTTACAAAAAGGTTACCAAAAAATAGAATTTCTGTATATGTCCCTCACCCAGCTTCCCCTAATGTTAATATCTTACATATAGCACAGTTTGACTTGTAAAAGTAAAATTTGGGGTTTCTAGCATCGGGCACGGACCTAAGGCGGGGGGTGGGGAGGGGAGAGAAACACGAGGAGTCTCCGCCGGCCCAGTGAACCGCTCTCCTTTTCACCCCCTTTGGAGTCCCATTCTCAGCTGCAGGTGCCCGGTGAGGCAGGGGTTTTCCTGGGACACTGCCAGGCAGCTCTGACGTCCTCCCACCCTTCCACTCTCCCAAAGTTTTCTCCTACATGTTCTAGGCTCTTACCTCTCAGTGTCTATCAGCCAGGGTTCTTCTCCAGAGGAAGGAACCAAAGAGATAGAGATGTAAATGACAGATATAAAATTAGCTACAGATACAAATGCAGATACAGTGAGAGAGACAGAGATAGAGATAGATTTATTTTGAGACACTGACTCTCATGCACGACTGTGGGGGCTGGAAAGTCCAAAATCCGTAGATCAGGCCGGCCGGGCTCGAAATTCAGGTAAGACTTGATGTTGCAAGTCTCGGAGTCCTAAATCCCCAGGGCCGGCCAGCAGGCTGGAGACTCAGGCAGGACTTCTATGTTACAGTCTTGCAGCAGAATTCCTTCCCTGGGAGACCTCAGATTTTGCTATTAAAGCTTTTAACTGATTGGATTAACACGCCCAGGCACACACACCAACCCTGGAATTATGGAGGGTAATCTCCTTTACTTAAAGTCAAATGGTAAGAAATAGTAATCCCATCTACAAAATACCTTCACAGCAGCATAGAGACTACAGTTTGCCCAAACACCTGGGCACCACAGCCCTGTTCACACATAAAATTAACCATCATCTGCTCTGTTCTCTTGGCCAGCCTCTCCTTGACCTCCAGAAATTTGTTGCAATCTTTCTTCTTCCCCTGATGCTCCTCTCCCAGTTGTATCCGCGTTACATCCCTCCCCTTTGTGTTAACATTTTGTTACAGTCTAAGGAGATAAGCGCTTCTATTCATTCTACTGTCTTCTACTTGTAGAAACCAAAGTTTACTTATAAAGAAAACCTGATTGCTCCTGCAAGTGCCTCTCCTAAATACAGGCGTGTCAGCAGAGGTCAGCAGTCCTTTTGAGATTAAAAACAACAGCAACAAAAACATCACATGATTCAACTCCCATGTATTTATTTGCTTTACATATTGCTCAAGACAGATTTCCAATATTGATTCTTAGGGGTGTCTACTGCATTGTACTTATTTGGAATTTTTCAAATACTTACTTTATCTAAAAGGACCTCTCCAAAGGAAATTGCTTATTTTCCTGTTTGTTTGGATGTAGGTCCTTCCAACTTTGAATATTTGAAAAATCCTCACGATATGAATCCTCAGCCTTCAGTCTGACCCGTAACTTTATTATTTTAATTTTCAAAATCACAAACAAAGCTCTTTGAAGGGCTTACTCGCCTCTGTAATTCACAGCACCTAGAACGGTGCTTTGTCCCAAGTAGGTGCTCAAAAATTTTTTTTAAACGTGCTTAAGTTTTTAAAAACATTCTTTAGCTCTGTATGATAATGGTATGATTCAAATGCTTCAATTTATGATAGTTCATTCCTCAAATTTGATAGTACTTGTCAGGTAGGGTGGGAGCAGGCACTTTTAAGTCTCATTTTATAGGAGGGATACTTGGGCGGTGTCTGAAATGGTAAATAATTTGCTGAGGCCATGTACCTGACAGTTGCTGAATCTGCCTGAGTCCAAGTCTTCTGATTCTTAATTTTATGCTCCTTATTTTGGATGTATCACATATCCTTATGGAACATTAGACAATGAACATATTTCTATAAATCCTACTACTGTTAGATATGCTTGCAATGAACTCACATTCATGTCATGTTCTGCTAATATGCTAAACTATCCCTTTCTTTATAAGAAGTTAAGTTTCCTTGAACAACCTACCTTGTTGTTTCCGTATGTGTTCTGTACCCATGGACCAAATAGTCCTCCATGAAAATTGCTCTCAGCTTTAGGCTCTCTCCCAGCAAAGGTGTGTTTGAGAATCAAAGACCACTAGATCACCCAGGGGGCTCAGTCACTTAAGCATCCGACTTCAGCTCAGGTTATGATCTCGCAGTTAGTGAGTTTGAGCCCCACGTCATGCTCTGTGCTGACAGCTCAGAGCCTGAAGCCTGCTTTGGGTTCTGTGTCTCCCACTCTCTACCTCTTGCCCGCTCACACTCTGTCTCTCTCTCTCAAAAATAAATAAACATTAAAAATTAAAAAAAAAAAAAAAGAATCAAAGACCACTGATAAATAAGACACAAGGATACACTGAACAGCATAGGGAATATAGTTAATAATACTGTGACAACTCTGTATAATGACAGACTGTAGTGGATTTATGGTGGTGACCATTTCCTAATGTATGTAGTGTTGAATCACTATGTTGTATACCTGAAGCTAATTGTATGTCAACTACACTGCCATTAAAAAACAGAATCAAGGGGTGCCTGGGTGGCGCAGTCGGTTAAGCGTCCGACTTCAGCTAGGTCACTATCTCGCGGTCCGTGAGGTCGAGCCCCGCGTCAGGCTCTGGGCTGATGGCTCAGAGCCTGGAGCCTGTTTCCGATTCTGTGTCTCCCTCTCTCTCTGCCCCTCCCCCGTTCATGCTCTGTCTCTCTCTGTCCCAAAAATAAATAAACGTTGAAAAAAAAATTAAAAAGAAAAAAAACAGAATCAAGAACCCCTTTGTGTTTTCAGAATTTGAGCCTTCCTACAACTGCTGAAAATTCATCTGTACAAAAAAGACATGCTTCTAGTCTTAATATAAAACCATCAAATTAAACCTAACACATCATTTACTGATAGCAAATGGAGGTGCAACTCCTTCTCTCCCATACCTCCCAAGATGCATCTTTTCAGAAATCAGGGGCCCCTGGGTGTCCCGGTTGGTTAAGCATCCGACTCCTGATTTTGGCTCACTCAGGCCATGATCTCATGGTTTATGAGATCAAGCCCCACATTGGGCCCCTTGCTGATGACAGCACGAAGCCTGCTTGGGATTCTCTCTCCCTCTGTCTCTCTGCCCATCCCCTGCTCTCCTGCATGTGCACACGCTCTCTGTGTCTCAAAATAAATAACATTTTTAAAAAATCAAATCAAACCCGTCACATAATTTACTAATAGCAAACAGACTTGCAACCTTTCTCTCCCATACCTTCCAAGATGCACTTCACCAACCGCCTTGTTAAAAAAAAAAAAAAAAGTCATCATTACAAGTACAGAC